CTTTTCCACTGTGGCATGAGATATTTCAAACAGCACGGGACAGAGTGAGTTTATTGTAACAACTCTAAGTAATCAAAAAGAGAAATTAATGTTTTTCAAGGGCATATTAAGTAGGTTTTATATACATTATTATAATAAGTCTTCACATCACCTGTGAGATTTTCTTATCCTCCTATTACAGATGAAGAATCTGAGTTTCAGAAGGGTACAGGACTTGCCCGAGACACAAAGATGATAAAAGGCAGACACCAGGAATAACACCCAGTTCTGTCTGATTTCAACATTTTGGACCCTATTACTACATGTAATGGGTATGAATTTTACACTACAGACATTTGCATGTAAGAAATGTAATTTTACTTCCCAATCCGGAAATCAAATTACATTTATTTGAGGCTACCATCTCACTAGACGGCAAAGGAAATTCAATTATTTGTTTTGATCCTTTGAGCATCATATAAGGATATAGAAGATTTATATGGTAGATTTCCAGAAATTTGAGTGAGAGTTACATTTAAAGGAAAGATATTGTGTATCTGTAAAGAGGTGATTAACTTCGTATTTATTTATGGAGTTGAATAAAATGGAGGGAAGGAAAGGGATGCCAGCTTCGAGCACATTACCTGACACCATGACGAAGGATAGGTTTTCATCTTCTCTTACACCATAAATGACATGCTTAACCTCTCTTCCTATGAAGCCTAATCCTTTACCTTGTAAATCAAATACTACATGAAATTGGAAGCACTTCTCATCTATTTGGCATTGTCTGATTAACTTGGACATATGATCCCAGTGTCTCATGCTTTGCGGGAATAGATCCCCTGTCTTTTTCAGTATTGTAAAATGTCTTCGAAATACAAGAAATAATAACAATATTTTCCGCTATGCCACTACTTTTCCTGCTCCTTCCTCTAACTTGTAATAAATAATCGCATATACAAATTTTAATATTTTCTATGATTTGTGGCAGTAGAGTGTAGATCTTTTACTGAATGTTTCTTTTTTTAATATTTCCTAATTTTTAACCAAAATGCATATACATCTAAATATTTCATTAACAGATCTTCGGTGCCTTTTACTAGCATATGTCAATAAGTTTCATATTATAATTTTAATATTCCAGTGCCTATAATAAATTTATATTTGTGAACAAGTTTGAAATTTGGTGATTTATGTAACTGTCTTTAAGCAATGTTTCTTTCACATTATGTTAGGAAGGTTGACAATAACGGTAACAATCTCTTAAATTTTTATTTTATTTTGTTATAGTGGTACTATTATATGAACGTTATTAATAGAATAAAAATAATTGCATGTGTTTTTTACTTTACTGCTTTAAAAATGCTTAAATAAACTCTTTAATTCTCATGATAAATTTGTGAGGTTAAATATCCTTATCTGCACTGACATTTTAGGACCAGAGGCTCAGAGATATGTAATGGTGACCAAAGAACCAGAGCTAAAAGTCTGCCCAGCTGGGCCCTAGTAGCTGGCTTACAGCCCTTCCCACTACAACATAGACAATTCTGTGAAAATTATTTGTGAAAATTCTCTCACAAATTATTGCAAGTGTAAATTTTAGAACTCAGCTGAAGAACCAGCATTGCTAGTGGACAGCTTATTACCAAATTCATAATCAATGCAAGGAAAGAACAGAATCGGTAATTCTCACAATAACAAAAATAGAGACGACTTTTGGGTTGCTTCCTTTTTTACTTTCCTCTCTAATTCAAATGAGTTTTAAGAGTTATGATTTGAAACCCTGCCATTAGCTCCATCAGAAATATTAAATGTTAAATAAAATGATCTTTATTGACCATAAAATGAACACCATTTACTATCCCAAGATGATAAAAAATACTTTTATAATGAATAGTAGATAAATTGCCAAAAAAGCTATTTTATTTCAGTCTGTGGACAACTTAATGTGCTACTGGAAAATGCATACATATTCTGACCTAATTAATTTCCAGGGCACCTGGTTTTGAAGAGTGCTCAGAAATGTCCCCTAACTTACTCCACTGTCACATAAATGTTGTAGTGGCTAGACACATTCTGACAACAGGGTTTCAGGCATGAATGAGTTACTTTCTCCTCAAGACTTTTGTTGTCGTGCTTTCCTGCACACATTCTACCTTGAGATATGTGCGTATTTTTTGTATGTAGTCAAAAGTTCATCCCTATTTCTGAATACTTAGGCCCCAACAGAGAACACTTCCCTGTGATAATAATGTGCTTGTTCTAAGGGCACCACCTCCAGGCACACTACCCCTAACATACAGTTTTATATTTCCCTCTTCGAGAGGTGGATGAGGACAGTTTCAGGTACCTGACCTGGGCTAATGTAACTTAAAAATACATAAGGAGCAGGTAAGCACCAAAGTTGTACAAAGGACAGAGTGGGGGAAATGATTGCTATGGCTATTTATTATAGAATGTGCTTTTGGAAAGTACATAAAGAAAAGTAAGATGTTGTAATTTATTGTAGACATCTAATGTAGTGAATTGCTATTTTTCTTGTCCACAAAGGAAGAAAATGAGTCATTTTATTTAAATTTAAAATTTTTTCTTCAAGAGCCATTAGGATAGATCTTAGCATACCTGTGTAATAAAATGATCTCTCTCCTCTTATTATGACATATTCTGTTCTTTAGAGTTAATTTATACATTATTGCTTGCAACATGCTAACTGCTGAAAAAATCATTAAGCTAAGTAGATATTTAGCTAGTAATAGCTATTTTCAATACACTTAATTTATCTTGCCATTTCTAAAGTTTATACAAATAAAAATAACCTTTGCTGTTGGACATGAATACTCAACCTCTCTTGGATTAAGTAACATGTTGAAAACACTTCTTATAATAAATAAATGAAACCCTTTTTTTTTTTAATCTACAGGACAACACTTTTAAACTGGAGGACTCACATTTTGAAAATGGCCGTGGGAAAAGTCCATATGACCCTAAACTGCTGACAGCATCTCTTTTAATAGGTGCGTAGTCATCAATCAAATAAATAGTGAAGATTTTATAGATAATAACCAGGTTGCATGGTTCTTTTCTATCTACCAAAATTTTCCATATTAATCACAATTTTAGAAGTAAATCAGTTATGATATATTCAAATATTCTGAAGATGAAGAAGAAATACAAAATGTTGTTTTGGTTATTGCCCTATTTAGTTTGATTCTTTTTAATTAAAATGGTTTAATAATATCCTAAAATGGCCAGCTCAATCATTATACATCCCCACTTAGCTTAAATTTTTATTTTGTAAGAAAATTTTTGTTTCCATTTTATAAAAAAAGGTGTTTAAATATGGAATTTTGACAGGTTATAATGAGAATCAGTCTATCCTGTTAACTATAGTCAAAGATTTGTCACTTTCTCAATATTTGGATGATCTCATCAGCACAATCAATCTAAATGGTGGTACATGGCAGAGACTACTTTGTGTTACCTTGAGTCGACTCATCCTGATATCTTGTTAGATATGTTGGCTTAGAGAAGATATTCCATATCCACCTTTTATGACTTTAGGTCTTCTTTTTAAAAAAAAAAAATTTATATGACTTCTAACCTTTTCTCTAATCATAT